GTTCGGATATTTCAACTTCGACCTCAACTAGTATCTAACATATCAGATGATCAGGGATCCAATGAATCGAAATTCTGGAGAGATACGCATATGAAGGAATACAGTGACTTATTTCCACGCATTGGCAGATCTAACAACCACAGAGTACATTCGGTTTTTAAGGACTCCCTTATCTCAAATCAAGAGAATGGTCGACTTTTGCCGATCCATATAAGCAGAAGGTGGATGATGAAATTACGAAACTGATGAAAGAAATTCATATCGTGAAACTCTGCAAATGAACGTGCGATCACTTTATAGCTCTAATGGCAATCACAGCCAGAAAAATAGCACTGTGAAATCAGCCAGAGATTCAAATGCCGATAAGCTCACAGAGTACCAAATGCTAAAGCTCTTAGAACAATTTGGTATAGCGGCCCAAATCAGCAATTCAGAAAAATCTGGCATGATGTGGTTCACGTCCTTAGATCTGAAATACGGTTTTAGCCAGCTCAAACTCAGTGACCTTGTCAGTAGCCATGCCAAAATTAACCCAGTTTGGGGTGAACCTATAAGAACTTAACGTTTCAAAACCGGATTTTACGGCCTTAATGATATGCCAAAGTAGCTTCAAAAGGCAAAGGACAACACAATTCAGAACCTTTGCGGTGGAAAATGTTGATTGTTTCAAAAGGCTCATTATCAGAGCACAATTCGACGTTCGGTTCTATCCTATTGAGCTTCGATAAAAAAAGTTTTAACTCTAAAATTGTCAAAATGTGAATTATCATGATTAGGTTTCATCATTGACGACGAAGGCATCAAAACAAAACTCTCTAAATTACCAGCAAATCTTAATTAAACAGCACTTATTACCCCAGAGATATGAAGACCTATTCCGACAAACTTCAAAGTATCAGAATAAACGAAAACTTATATGTGACCTTGGTCAACAATCAGCTCTTGAAGACCCGCTGAAGCTAAAATCCGGATTAATAAAATGTACCACTATGACCAAAAGAAGAAATTACGAGTCAAATGGGACACAAATAATGATGGTCTGGGTGCCGTTCTTGACCAGGAACTAAAAAGTTGATCCTGGAGTACTATACCGTTCTCCTCCAGCTTTATCAATTGACACGAACTCAAATATAGCACTAACCAGCTCGAAGTTATAGCAAAAGTGTGGTCATGCGAACATTTAGAAACTACTTGTTGGGAAATCAGTTTGTGGTATTAACCGACCATGAAGCCATCATATTGGCTTTTAAAACCAACCGTGGAAGTAAGATCTGTCACTCGAAGATCACAGGACGGGCCGCCAGACTCCTAGCATTTGGGTCGCTTTTAGCGTAAATCATATCGCTGGCACCATTTTTGCCATTGTGGGTTGCCTATCGAGAAATTTTTCTTCAGAAGCCCCCAAACATCTATTTACCACGTGTCGTTTATGGTTATGTCTATACAGAAATTCTTTGAAGCCTGCGATACGATAGACATAATAAATTCATCATCCAAATGACCTACCAATTTGAACAGAACAAACAGACCTAACAGTCAAGTAAACTTTACTCGTCCATCTTCGCATATAGTTTGGTTGACCCCACCTAAAGGTTCCTGTAAAATTATTTTACATTTTCATTTTGAGTTTTCTGGCGACATTTTATCTAAATTCCCTAATTCCCAATGTTCCAATTTTAACTATTCAGATTTGTCAAATTAGGGGACTATTATCCACAAGAGAGCTCAATATTCTCATCTTTTTGTCTTTACCAATCATATTCGAGTGTATTTTTGTTTAATTACATGTAATTGTGATGCTTTGAAATTCAATAACTTTTTTGTTACTAGGAAAAAAGAACTTAAGTCGTTATGATTAGAAGACACTGCCATCAGATGAATTCTTCTTTTTGCACAAAAAATTATCATTGAAATTTTTCAGTTATGTATGAGTTTTTTTATTAACTTAGAGCCAAACTTAATCTAAATTTTGATAGCAGCTACGTTTCTTTTTGATCTGTCGTTACTAGAAAGACTTATAAACAAAATTCTTCCAAATTTGTATTATTCTGAAGTCGCAAATTTTATTTTTGTATAGATCTTTTTTTAAGAGTTCGAAATAACACAATTAGTTCAATTTGCGCTTGCTGTGTTTACGTCTACCAAATAGTTCAAAATAGTTCAAAACACAAAGAACTCGGGCAGACACGCTTTCTCACCCAGGGGCAGATTTCAAGAGAGCTGGGCAGATCTTCAGTTTCACCCCCTTTGTAAAAAATCAAACTTTTTGGTTTATGGAGAAATGCTAGTCAAACAATTTCCATATATGAAAATTACTAATAATTTACCTTTGATGCATTTTCTGTACTTATGGAATTGCTTGAAAAAAAGATGATTAGCTTTTTTCCATATATGGAAATTGTATGATTAGCATTTTTGGTCAATCCGGGAAACCACTGGTAGGTCAGTTTACGGCGCCGTAAAAAATGTGCCAATGAGTCCGCAAAAGATGGAATCTGAAATTTTATGTTATTTTCTCATTGTCCAAGTTAAACTTGACAAAATGTTGCTCAAAAACTTTACTGAAAAAAAAACAAAATATTTCATTTTTACTGTCCGATTTGAAAAAACTATTAAAACAGCAGGCCTTGAAAATCTCTCAAATAGATGTCTTATAAAATCCCTTCACCAATCACCACATTTGGATGAAATTCTAAGAATTTCCATCACTATAGAAGATCTATCTCTCGTAGATCACTATATGGGCCGCCAGACTCCTACCATTTGGGTCGCTTGTAGTTCAAATTATATCGCTGGCACCATTTTCGCAGAATTCAAGGGGCAGATTTCAAGAGAGCTGGGCAGGTCTTCAGTTTAACCCCTTTTTGTAAAAAATCAATCTTTTTGGTTTATGGAGAAAAGCTAGTCAAACAATTTCTATACATGAAAATTACTAATCATAGACCTTTGATGCATTTTTCCGTACTTATTGAATTGCATGAAAAGTGTATGATTAGCTTTTTTCCATACATGTAAACTGTATGGTAAGCATTTTTGGTCAATCCGGGAAACCACTGGTAGGTCAGTTCACGCGCCGTAAATAATGAAACATTGAGTCCTCAAAAGATGCAATCTGAAAATTCAAGTTATTTTCTCATTGTCCCATTTAACTTTGACAAAATTTGGCTCAAAAACTTTATGAAAAAAAAACCAATATTTCATTTTTACTCTTGCGATTTGAAAAAATTATTAAAACAGCAGGCCTTGAAAATCTATCAAATAGATTTATTATGAAATCCCTTCACCAATCACCACATTTGGCTGACATTCTAAGACTGGCTGTAGCTTACAATTTTGGAGGGTCTTATGGCGGTCCTTCTTATGGCGGTGTGTGATTATTCTGAAAACTAAACCAATTTGATCAAAATTGATTTTGGTTTGAGCGCTTTTTCTGCAGTTTTTATGACAAAAAAGAGAAGCTCCCTTGAGAATTATTAAAACATATCATGATAAAGTTTTCTTTCAAAAAGTTTTTGGATTGTAACTCGCAAGTGAAAACCTGTGAAAGCAAAGATGTAATTCTCAAATCAAAGAAGATTTGTTCTTAAATTTGAATTGCTTGAAAAGTAGGAAATATCAGTTTTAAATATTCTGTATTAAAAACAAATCATAAATTAATTCACGAACCTCCGAAAATTGAGTCATTTACCTTTTTTACGGGAAAAACTGCACTAGGTCGAATTTTGCATATTTGATCATAATACAACCTACTTTCTTCATTGCAAAATAGTTTTTGGTACGCAATTTTAGTGTTATCGTGAGATCCGCCAGTACCTATAAAATCGTGAGATCCGCCTTAAATCCGCCAAAATCTAAAAAAAATATCAGATGTATATCTCAGATCTGAATCATCAAGTAAGGATTAAAATAACGCTTCCATACTTTAACAATGTGCTTTTCATATCTGAAATGCAGTTTCTCTCGAATGTTTCAGATTTTAAAAAAATCGTATCGAAACTTCAGATTTGGTTTTCGTTTTTGAATGTTTCGGATCAGGAAGTATCAATTTATGGACACAATAAGAAATGGATGATAGCAAAAAATTTACAGTCTCACATCGGTTAAACAAGAAAACTTCCGAATAAGCAATTTTGTACAGAAAGAAGACACAAATTGGAAACTTCTGAATAAGCAATTTTGTACAGAAAGAAGACACAAATTGGAAACTTCCGAATAAGCAATTTTGTACAGAAAGAAGACACAAATTGGAAACTTCTGAATAAGCAATTTTGTACAGAAAGAAGACACAAATTGGAAACTTCTGAATAAGCAATTTTGTACAGAAAGAAGACACAAATTGGAAACTTCTTAATAAGCAATTTTGTACAGAAAGAAG